AGGCGGAGAGAAAATGATGGACGGCTACCTGTGGTGCTGCCAGGTGGCCTCGGTCACGAGGGTTCGTGACGTAACGGGTAAAAGAATCAAGAGATCATGGGGCTTCCCCTGACCTGGATTTTATCTCTCCGTCACCGGCAGAATCGCTGATTAATGCCTACAGTTCAAAATAGTCATTTCGACTGACAAGAGTCTATGCTGGGTAATTGAACGCAGTGAATATGAATATTATTAAGGTAGAGATGCAGTTTACCTGCAAGGTATTTTAATTAGTTAATTAGGCAACCAAGATGACCTCCCTTGTCCACAAAACTATATATTTTTGGAAAGCTTATTGTATGAATTTTACATTTTTTTTAATATTTTTTTTGTTATGGACACTGTAGTTTGAAATGTACACAAAATGTGCTTTTTTGGTCAAAAGTGATTTAAAAAAAATTAGCTTCTAAACCATGCTTCTGTTTCCTGTCAAAATTGGTTTATGGGTACATCTGTTTACTATGAAGAAACTGCTGTCTTGAAAACTGTCTACGAGTTGTCAATTTTGCAGGGCAGCAGCTCAAATTTCACTACTTCAAGTTTATGCATAAATTAACACCCAGGCTAGTTGTCTGTACGATTGTTGTAACACTGTTCAACCAAAAACAATGCCCCGACGGCATTTTGAAGATAAACACATTGTCAATCATTTGTGAAAATTTCAAAACAAAAGGTCAAAGCGTCTAGGAGCTATTTTTTTTTAAGTTCTGGAATGTGCACTAAAAAGAAGCTGAGATAATTGCTAATTTGCATAACAATTCACTCAGTAAGAAGTTTGCTAATGCTCATAATTAAAATGACTGTAACAGTTCCAGATTTAAATGTATTACAGTTTTGTTAAAAGTTAAATACAGTGCATAATATGGAGATCCAGTCATTTCTTTTTTTCACTATGTTTCTTTTTTTATTATTTATGTACAGCCTTGCTAAATCTTGCTCAGCATTCAAAAGAGAGAATGTTTGAATCTGTTATCTATATTTTAAATCGTTTTTTGAGTATGTCCCACTATTCTACAAAATTTTAACAGTCTATAGCCAAGACTGTTTGGATAATAAAAAGCACAACAAAAAAATTTCACTCCCAAGTGCCCACAAACCTGCATCTCTACCTTAAGCCTTTGCCTTCCAACTATGTTTGTACCAAATCAGTCAAGGAGTATTGAAAAATAAAACAATTGGTCATTAAAATAAAACATGAGATAAAGTGGCAAAGATCAGCAACCCACCAGGTGTGATGCTTACATCAATTTTGAATGAATTGGCCCGGAAATGCTTGATGACACAATGACATTTTAAATTTTTTGGAAGAGAAAGACAAAAAATGGTTGCCTACTATTAATTCAACTCCTCCTCTCTCCTACCCTATTTCAAAAAAATGTTCAGATTCTGCCCCCAAGCTAATAATTGCCAACCCCTTTCTTTGCAATTCCAACTCAGCTCAAATGAAATAACAAAAGGGGGTTTGATATCTGTGTGATTAGCAGCTAACCTCCTGGCATTAGGCAAACCCATTGCTATCATCTGAAGTATCAATGTATCTAGCGGTTCTCTCTGTATCTCTGGGGTGGTATACTCCTGGAACGAATCGTATTCAGATTCTTCATACAGACGAAAACATACACCAGGACCGGTTCTTCCTGTAAAGCAATAAGTCATTGACAGTGACTTTTAACAGAAATTTTACAGAAGTTGAGAGAAACAAATTTAAATAATATGATCTTATTAAAATTAACAATTGATGAAAAATCTAGGAAGATACAGAGAATTAATCAACCATGAAATATATTGAAAAATTAGGGACAAATTTTGTAGTTAAAACCATAAAATATTTTCAAATTAAATTAAACAAACAATACTAATTCAAGACACTTTAGTGTACATATTATAAGAATATTACGAGGATACTGCAAAGTATGCACTGAGGCAGTACTGTATCTATTAAAGCGTAATTTTATTATATATATTTTCTATTTTATATATATTCGATTTTGGTCATGAACTACATTGCTGCTGCATTCGTTGTAAAAAAAAAGGAAACTGTTTGAATGTGATGCAAATTATAAAGCACATTTTCCAAATAAGGAAGTTATTCAAATGTGTCTGTAATGCATACGAGTTTTGAAAATGCTATTGTTTTTGCAGCTAGGCAAGAAAAGCAAAATGAATGAGAAATGTCAGTAGATGAGAAAGAGTGAAAGAAAAAAAGACCTTAAAAATGTGGATTCAGACACAAACAAAAATTAAATTTCACCTACCTGCTCTTCCTTTCCTTTGTTCAGCACTAGCTCTACTGATCCAGAATTCCTGTAATCGTTTCATCTTGGCTTGAGTATCATAACTCATTTCTTTCACCTGAATCCACACAAGATACATTTATAAATGAAGTTAACCATTTTGAAAACCTAAAATACCATATGTGATACCAGTTAACAAAATCTAAGAAGTGATAAAATGCGTAGTCTTGTATAATCCTTCCCAAACACGGGCGGTTGTATCCAAACATAGGTGATCAACACCTATATAACTAAAGCGGTCAACTCGGTGCAACTCTCCAAAACATCAGCGGGCATCAGCAGTTAACAAAATCTAAGATGGTCGCAACTGCATAGCAACATACACATTGTAGCAGTCGATATAAGCTTGAACTTCAATCAATTGACTTTTGAGAAAAAACGACTGCAAAGCATGCAAAAATGTCTTTTTGGAACTATTTCAATAGGAATTCATGTTAAGGCATTATTTCATAAAAAATTAAGGACTTATAATGAAGACAATTTTAAGTTATGACTTTGTCAACGAAAAAGCCATGGCTCAAAAATCATAATTTTCATTGGGTGCATGATACATACCATACCTTTTTTTATCTGGATTTTGTGAGCAATAGCATAAAATAAAGCCATATGGTAAAAGTCAAGAAAATCTGGAAATAGGTTTTAATAGTAGCCAACTAGCAGGTGATAATGTACACTGTTTTGTAAATGTGTCCAATAATTTTCAGTTCTTAAAGTGCCTGTGCATGGCCCACCCTCACGTTTCCCATTTTAGATCTGTGTCCCACTGAAAAGCGTAGTTATTGATTTTTTTGCTGAAAATGATTACTCGTATCCAAGTAAATTTGGGATATTTCTCGTGTTGTAGCCACGCCCACCTATCGTGAAATGGTCGACTGTTTCCGCATTTCCGACTCTCGCCGAAAGTGCGCCACCAAATGACAAAATGTGAGAGGAAGTCATACCCCTGAGCCGTTAAACACTGGTCGTTCACTATACTTTTAAACGATATACATTTTTCGGTCGGGGTTTTTTCTTTTTTTGTTGTTGTCTATTTTATTTATTTTTTTGAGAGAGAGTTTTTAGATGTTGTGTTGTGGGCAGTTGCAGTGAAACGTATGGTCATAGTGTATGTATTCACACGTTTCTAATCGATCCGAAGGTGCGATGTCACTTAACCTTAGATTCATTCAACTGTCCTCGTCCATAAAAAAACGACTAGGTTTAAAGAGAAACGCCGACAACGTAAACCTGGTGCAACACTTTTGAAAGAAATAGATTCCGGACCAGCCCATGATCACCGAGGCGGATTTCAGAAGTGAGAGAGACGTCCGGCAAGTGTTTCAAATCAGTTGACTTTTTTTTGCGATTCTGATTATCGTTTTATAGAGACCATTTAGTCCCTGTTAAGTAAAAGGTAGCAATAATTTTGACAGTAACACGAAAACGAAGCGTCAGACAAACAGGAAATTACACAGCCCTTACACACTGCTAACTGTTTTCATTTTCGAAGGCTAAAAGTTTCTGAATTGTTTGGTGATTGGTGTTGAATGTTGAATTCACACCTCTGTTCTTTTTTATCTCCATGCTTGCAATGTTGATCTGCGTAATAATTTATGAAATAAGAATCTGGGCTTGGTCAATGTGTTTCCACCAAATAAAGTTTTAATACGATGTTATAATTATGACAATCACGCCATGGATAAGCTAACCCGAATCCATTCTGAATTTATCTGTATGTGTGTCCATCTCGATTATTTTTTTTATTCAATTAAACGCACGCTTTTAACGCACGCTGCCCTCGCCGTGACCCGACGCGTTCACCTTTTTCAACAAAATGTCAATTTATTTCCACGCGGCTGTCATTTATTTAGTAACTGTGATTTGTTGTTTTTTTAATTATTTTATAGTGATCACTATAGTCTAATGTTTAGAATGTCAAAATATGTTCTCTTTTATTTTAATTTTGAAAGTTTTACTCAGACGATCGATGAAATAAAACAGTGTAGTGACGTGCCTAGTAACCTGCTAAATAACGAGATAATTCCGACGTCAAATTCTATTTTGTCCAGCAACAGCGTACAAACGTGTGCCGGTGTCGGTGACGATCACGGTGACCAGCTACACCAGAACGGACATAATTCGCATCTAACTCACTCAACCCCATGCAACAAAAAATTATACTATGTGTTCATTATGGTCCATTCTTCCTCGACGAACAAGTACATAAGTGACAATATAGTCAAAGACGAGAAAACTGCACAAGAAATTTGCCTTATTTACACGTATTGGCAATGCAAGCTGCCATGCGACTTCCCCTTCTGACGTCACAAGGGGAATTTCATGTATGCAAATGAGAAGCTAATGAGGAGCCTCGTTTTAAAATACACAAAAATAAAGTTGCCGTTGACTGAGTTTAAAACACATTTTTTCACTTAAAAAAAATAATTCATGCTTAGAAACATAAAAATTAATAATATTTATGTATCAATTGATAATTTTAGGCGTGAAAATAGCAGCCATTTCACAGGCACTTTAATATATTAGAACCTTCAAAGAGTTATCGTGGGAAGAGGATGGGGGCGTTACAAGACCTGTGTTAGATTATACTTGATCATGTGCATTTACTTATTAAAAAAATACTAAAAATATAATTTCATAAAGGTAACACATTATTAATAACATTTGTATGTATTTGTGGGCACTGCTGCCAACTTAAAATAAACATGTGAACAGTATTCAGATACCACATACAATGTAAGGTCTGACCGTCTTACCTTTCCAGAGTCTGCAATGAACCGAACACCATCTATGGTAACTGATGTCTCGGCAATATTCGTAGATATAATACATTTCCTGACACCCTCTGGTGCAATATCAAATACCTACAAACAAGACAACACATTTATATTCTTCATGACCTATGACCTGAGTTCATGTACGACCTATGACGCCAGTTACATATTCATCACCTATGACTATGCTTATATCCATTTTACATTCAACTAGATTTTCTAACGACTGGATTACGTACAGCTGAGTGCAGTTGGCTGAGTATGTTCGGTCATGTAGGTGCAACTGTCGAGAATGAACCATATTCTTCTTTTGTGTTCAGTTGTCAGAAATGGTTGGTTTTGTACTTTCGCCTTAACTCTTCAGCATTTTAATCAAAAGCTCTCCAATTTTGGCTTTGGATGTGGCAATTCATGACATTTAGTGACGTACATCTATATGCTTTACACCTCTTGAAAGCCCCTTTTTTCAAGACGTGTTTCAAAATTTAGATCAAGACCTGTAGGCAATACAAACTGAAATCCATTTGTTCCAAAATTATCCCAAAAAATCTTGAAAAATACATAAAAATAGGAAATATGTTGGCAAAAAACCCAAATGCGGGTGAAAAAAAAAAATATGATGTTAAAAAGTTATCAAGACTGTTGCTCATTCAATATGACAATTTGACCTGTTTTCATGATGATGATAAAATTTACATGGAAAGCTACATAAATATGTGAGAATATTGAATAACAATTATTTCGGCTTACTTTATCTTGTTCGGCAACTGACAACGTACTATGTAACTGTAAGATGATCCATCTCTTTGTCTTCAAAGCATAGTGTTTAGCTGCGTCGCTCACGCTAGAGATCTCAGACATACCACTCAGGAATATCAATAAATCACCTCGTTCATTAGAGTCGTATTTATTGTCGATTCTTTGCATAATGCGTAGATACGGTCGTGGATCAAGCCGTTCTGATTTACCAGTCTGTTCCTGTTATAACAAGACACTACTAATTAGGGATGCTCAGAAACTAGGTGTCAATTGACAACTATCGCTATAGGCTCTCGTGGTCTTGGATCATTTGATTGGTTGACTCAATTTCAACAGCTCTGTCTGACACTGTTCTTACAAACTTGTGTAATTTTTTTTTTTTTTTTTTACTGAACTACACACTTGGTTATTTTCAGATTCTGTGTAATTCACCTTTTCAAATTTCCGTGTAAACACATTTGGTGTCAAAAAATACAAAAGGCGTGTTTTGCTGGGTTGTGAAAATGCAGGGAAGGTGATAATCAGCCACAATACAAACACCTAAATGTCTGTCATTTCAAGTAATATATTTCAGCCAATAAAATACCATATTTATTCTGTTAGTAGTACCGGTACATGCACTTACGAAAATAACGAGTAAGTCATATTTTAATGATAAGTATACAAATAATGTTTTTGAGATGCGCTTCTAATAGAGCAGATAGGGTATGGCCCTAATTGCATTTCCTAATGATGTTTGTTGTTTTTGTTGATGAACACAAAAAACTTCAAAAAATTCTATGATGTAAATGACTTCCCATGATGCAATGTGCAAAACAGAGCGACGCGCACATGTATTCAAGATGCCTGATGACTAGAAAGCCATGACAAATTGGCTAAAACGATTTCCACTCTATGGTGGTCCCTGTTACAGTGCCTTGGAACACATCTTGCAAATATAGAAAGATAGAAAACATTCAGAATCAAGAACATTATACAAACAACTGCAAGACTTGTAACATTTCTAGTTGGAAGAATGAGAATAGAGATGTAAAGCTGCTCAGTTCAATTAATTTAAAGTTGGAGAACAAGTACATGAAACGTCTTTTTACCTCAAAACCAACAGGAACATACTCAAGTTTAATAGGATACAGTCTTCCAGGAACCTAAAAAATAACAACATAATAGAAAATCATGAACTGCATAATTCCTGAATAAAACCCTAAAATTAGTAATTCAAATTACTTTATTTTAGCTGGAATTAATTTTCACTGAAAAGATTTTTTTGTGTTTTGTTTGGAATTTATTTTTACTTATTTTTGACAAGTAGAATGTTAAAATATCGGGAAAAAGGTATATTCCCTGGATTTTATTTTCACTGAATCATTCCCTCAGCGAAAACAGTGAAAATTAATTCCAAGCGAAAATAAAGTATTTTACAGTACTCAATCATTAGTCTATCAGTGGTGTAACTGATTAGCCACATTGAGAGTACAAAACAATGAGTCACCATACCTGTATTACGGGAGCATCACTAAAATAATTAGAAAATAAAGTGATATTAATAGTAGCTGACATCAGGACTATTTTTAAATCTTTTCTGTGTTGGACGAGGCATTTTAATACTCCAAGCAGGAAATCTGTATGTATGTGTCTCTCATGTACTTCATCCAGGATGATAACGCTGTACTGTGAGAGAGTTGAATCGGAACCGATCTGCCGTAGTAACAAACCTGTGTAGAGAAGCTGACAATCAGCGTATCTGTAGCAGTAACCGCAATGTACATGTATTACCATTCATTGCTTTGTAATGCTTCTTACGAATATTCAAAGTTACCTTCGCCTACTTAAATCCACTCAAAGTGGAGACGTGTCATGTTTGGCATTGTGGGATTTTACACATGACAGAATAAGGTTCAGAAAAAAAAAGATTCTGGCCTAATTTTCTCAAAATTGATGGGTCTGTGTTTTCATTTTAAAATTATAATTTTTCATGAAAAAATATATTTTTCTTCTAAACTTCTTTAAAACTGTTGTCTTACCTTCTGTTAAAAACAATATCCGCGTAAATATATTTTTTGTTGTCTCAAATCGGATTTGGTATGCGACCTCTGACCCATATTCATTCAAAGTTTCATGGGCAACTCTCTTAGCCAATGAAATGCACGCAATTCGGCGAGGCTGGGTACAAGCAATTTTTGTGAAACCAGCGGCCATCAAATACTGAGGTACCTAATATAGGAAAGCAGAACAATGTAAATAATAAATGTACCGATATTCCATATTTAGGCAGAGGGTTCTTCGAACCCGCCTATTCACATAGTTCATACCCACCATAGACTCCGGTCAGTCAAAATGACTATTTTGAACTGTAGGCATGAATCAGCGATTCGCCAATGGCGTAGAGATAGAATTTAGGTCAGGGGAAGCCCCATGACCCCAAGATTCTTTTCCCTCTTACGTCACAAACCATGTGACCAAGGCCATATGGCGGCGCCCATACGGCTGGCTCATCACTCAGGTTCCTTTCTCTCCGCCTCGAGGACTTAGACCAACGCTACGGAAAGAGTGGGGTGGTTGGGGGGACCCGGA